TTTGATTGGACTGGAGTAGAAATGGATGTGGAGGAGTCCAAGGATTGCCTCTGCACATAATGCAATGACTTCTAATGCCTGCCTTCCTTCCTTCCTTTCTTCCTTTTTCCCTTTCCTTTCTCATTTACTTTCCTGTTTTTCTCTCTGTTTTCCTTCTTTTCCCCCTTACATCTTTTGCTTTTTCCTTTTTCTTTTCCATTCCTTCCACTGAGCGAGCACAGATGAACACACAGCTATAAAGCTCAGTGAATCACTGTTAGCATTCTTTATTGTGCCTCCCACCCAAGCAGGTCAGGAGGAGTTGCTTGTCATATGGAATTCTAATTTTAAGAGAGTGAAATTCTTTATATGCTTATATATCATTTCTGAAGCTTCTGTGATGATACAACTTTTTTAAAACCACTTTTTGTTGACTTGTCTTTTTTATTGAATGTTAAAAGTTCTTTCTATATTATTTTGCAAATTCATGATAAGGCACATAAGTATAAACTATTTTCTTACAATTGTACTCTGTTCTCTTTGTTTTCTTAATACAATTATTTAAATTAAAAATTATTTAATGAAAAATGACAAGTATTTATTGTGTGTGTTTATGGAATATGATATGTAGTTTTGCTATGGGTATACATTTTGGAATGGGTAAATCAAGCTACCTAACATGTCCATCACCTCAAAATTTTATCACTTCTTAGTGGGAAAAACATTAATATGTACTTTTTTAGCAATTCTGAAATATATAATACCTTGTGGCTATTGTTGTTAGTCTGTGCATAACTTACTCCTTCTGTCCAATTGGAACATTTTACACTTTGATTAAAACCTCCCCTTTCCCAGTCCATCCCTCCAGTACCTTGAAACCAACATTATACTCCCTATTTCTGTGATTCTACAATTTAATACACTACAGTCAACTTAGGAATTATTGTACTCCTGTGTCTGGTTTGTTGCACTTAGAATAAGGTCCATTAGATTCATGCATGCTGTCACAAATGCAGGATTTCCTTTTTTTTAAAAGGATGAATATCTCTCCAATGTGCATATACTGTGTTTTGTTTATTCATTTATCCAGTGATGGGAATTTAAGATGTTTCCATATTATTACTATTGTAAATAATGCTGCAAGGAATATGGATGTGTGGATATCTCATTGACATGCTGATTTCATTTTTTAAAACAATACATGGTCAGTAGTGGCATTGCTGGATATTATAATAGATCTATTTTTTGAAAGGCTTTTATATGTTATTTATAATCACCTTAATATGCATTTTCACTCACAGTGTACAAAAATTCCCTTTTCTTCACATCTTCCTCAAAGATACTTGTCATTTTTCATCTCTTTGAAGATAGTCATTCTATGAGGTGATAATTGTGGATTAAATTTAAATTTCTCTAATTATTAGTCATGTTTAGCTTTTTTATATATCTGTTTTCAACTTGTATTTACTCTTCTGAAAAAGGTATATTCAAATATTTTGGTTATTTTTAATAGAGTCACTAGTTGTTATTGTTGTTTTTGTTGTTGTTGTTGTTATGGAGTGGTTTGGCTCTCTTATATATTTTGGATACATTCCCTTTATCAGATGCCTAATTTTGTAAAATTTTTGCCAAACCTGTGGATTTTTCTTCATTCTGTGAATTATTTTCTTTGATCTGCAGAAGTTTGTAGTCTGATGCAACCCCATTTGCTATCTTTGCTTTTGTTGCCTATGTTTGGGCAATAATATCCAGAAAATTGTTGCTCAGACCACTGTCTTGGAGCTTGTCCCCTATGTTTCTTTAGAAGGGGACAGTTTCTGTTCTTGTCCAAAGTCACTCTTATTCTGTTCCGTTGATCTGTGTGTCTATCCCTCAAGCAGTATCACGGAGACGTGATTAATGTATACCCTAAAATAAGTATGTTACTTTTTTTCCAAATAGTACTTGAAAATAACAATACCTTAAAAAATGTCACCACGTGTACCTTCCCCTGGGTCTAGGCCCCATTCGTGGTGTGTCCTGAGTGTTCCTGGTGTGCTCCACTATCCTTCAGGGAGGTTTGTGTCTGGGCTCACACTGATGTTCCCTCAATGTGCCTCTCACACAGTAACACAGAGCTGTGTCCTCCGAGGTCACAGAGCTCAGCTGGAGGAATAACGGTTTTTTCAGTGTGTCACAGGAGATGCTGCTGTGGCTCCAGAAGGATGGGTTGTATCTGGTGACTCCAGAATAACCTATTTCTCCCACAGCCACTGCAGCCTTTTCCCAGTGGCTTTTGAATCCAAAGCCAGTAGGTGCCACTGGTTGTTATGGAGAAACCAGAGACAGTGCAGGGGAGGGAGACGGTCTGAGAGGGCTTCACCAGTCCAGGACCCAACTCCTGCAACTGCACCTGGGACAGGATACCTAGGGACAAGGATAATCAGTTTCTGTCAGTCACCTGCAGTCACAAATATTTCAAAGACCTAGGTGTGACATCTGAAACACTCACCTTGGGTAGCTGTCAACATGCACATCTCATTTTCTGTAAGACCACAGCTCTGCCTTCTCCAGAGATTTTCTGTCTTGTCTGAGAAGAGATTCATCAGCTCCCACAACATGAGAGTGAAATTTTACCCAAGAGATTGAAGGGTAATTTGCATGTTTAGACCCCTGTCCTAGCAACTGGGGAGAGACCGATTTCAGGCTTTCCTGAGACTGCCGTGGCCCTAGGAGGGCATCTCTTCTCTGGAGCTTACCTAGAATGTGTTTCTGCATTTGGAGGGAATTTATCTTTAAAACACTACATGTGTTATTTAATACAATGTAATGACCCTATAAATTATTTCCCCTTCAAAATAATTAATTATAAACAAAAATTTATAAAATATAATAGTCTTTCTTTACTAGTTAGCACTTTAAACAAAAATTATGAAAGAAACAAACTGATTTTGTTCCCCTTGAATTTAGTTTCATGAAGTATTTTATTTATTTTTAGGAAATATTGTAGTTGACAATCCAGCTGTTGGGAAGAGACTTCACACAAGCCTGTGACTCAGAAGAGAAGGAGCTGTTGTAACTCCTTTGTCTAAGACAAGAAAGCAATCATGTTGACTTTGCTGGCAGGAGAGAAAGAGAGACCCGCAACTTGGAAGAGAGCTGTTTCATCATCACAACTCATTAGTGCTAATTCCATGTTCGTGTTTTTCAAGCTCATGACAATCTGTTTGGAGTCCTCTATGCAGAAGGTGTGAGATTTCAGGGCACTTCCAGCTGACTTCTTCAGCAATTATTCTACAAAACTCATTGAATGTGGTGATTTCAGCCACGTTTATAGAGGCCTTCACTGTGCCCTGGAGGGGCTCTTCCAAGTGCTGGGCCCTGAAGTGCAACATTCACATGGGTGTTGATCCATCCCCATCTTGTCAAAGATAGAATTTAATTTAAAGGATGTAAGGTTTTGATATCAGTTTTCCTACTGTGAAGCCATTCATATTAATCTGATAATTGGCATTCACATTTGTCATGGGAAGGCAACTTTCCTAGAGTAATGTGCAAATTCAGTCACCGTGCACAACTAAAGCTGTTTCTCACTGACTTTAACTCCATGACATTAAAGACCACAGGGCTGTACACAATCTTGGTTCTACCCAGGATTTTCCAACTCCTTCTGTATGGGACTTGTATGGTGATTACTATAAAAGGAGTGAGTGACCCAGAGCCTACTTAGAAGGAGAATCTCCAATGTGGATATATTAGTATGTCATCTCATAAAGAAATGGAAAATACCTATCAAAGGGAAAGTCTTGAGAAGAAACCTGGCATATGAAAAAGGCCTCGACCTATTAGGTTCTGATCAACTTACTGTTAAATTTATTGCCTTCATGTCATTTTGGAAAATTAAAACAAAGCATGGTGAATTGAAGTGTGATGTTGCTTGTTTGGTACAACAGCGGGGTGAGGATAATGAAGAGCCCTGTGATCCTGAGGAGATGGCCTAATCCAAGGAGAGGGAGGCTCCAGGACATGTGGACTCACATGGGGAACCTGCTTCTGCGCATCCATCAGTCACTCCCAGAAGCCTTCAGGAGACAGGGGTGTGGGTGGGCCCTTGAGAGGGTCCAGTGAGAACTGGAAGTCAAGAAAAGACAATGATCTGGGATAAATTTTTTTAAAAATTTCTTTTAAATTCACAAATTATGGTTGTTTAGATTTACAAGGTAAGAAATGTTATGATTTGTGAATGTAATATGGAATAACTGATAATTAAGATTTAAGATAGTTTTCATTAATCACCTCAAATTCTTATCATTTATTGTGACATTTGAAATTTACTCTGAGCTCTTTGGAAATGACCAATATGCTATTTTTAAATGAACAACTAGAAATCAATTCATGTAAACAAATAAAAGCAACTGAAATCAATTAGGAATTTAAAGATTTACACTTAGTCCATCATTAGTTTGATTCTTCAGAAAATATTTTTGGAATTATTTTGTTTTAATGTTTAATATGAATGCCTAGTATATATGCATAGGTCTGTGTATTTATACATCTTTCTCTCTTTTTATTTCTTTTTTTTTTTTTTTTTTTTTTTTGCGAGATGGTGAATTGCCCTGTTGCCCAGGCTGGAGTACAGTGGCACAATCTCAGCTCACTGCAACCTCCGTCTGTTGGGTTGAAGCAATTCTTCTACCTCAGCCTCCCGGGTAGCTGGGATTACAGGTGTGTGCTACCACACCCGGATACATTTTGCATTTTTAAAAGAGACGGGCTTTTGCCATGTTGGCCACGCTTGTCTCGAACTCCTAACCTCAAGTAATTCACCTGCCTCGGTCTCCCAAAGACCTGGGATTACAGGCACGAACCACCGCGCCTGGCGTGTACATATTTCTATGGCCATAGATTTATGTCCCTATAGCTATGTAGTTGCTGATGTCAACAAATGTTCGTAAAATTCTGGGGGAATTAGTGCAAATAATTAGGAATGTTTATTTCTTGAAAGTATATACTTAAAAATACTTACAGAATTTTAATAATTATTAAAATTTAAATACTAACGATAATAAATTCATAATAAATACAAGTAATATAATATCACAGGCTAGAACACTCCAGAGTTCTGCAAATACAATCCTGACTTTTCCAGTTGAGTAGAAAGGAAACCGCTCCCTGCTCCTGCTCCTGGGACCTGTCCCGTCCTCATGGGTCCCGAGCGCCCCCTGGTGGTCCCGCGCGCCCCTGCAGGGAGGTTTGTGTCTGGGCTCACACTGACCCCGCCTCACTGTGTCCCTAGTACAGTAATACACGGCCGTGTCCTCGGTTTTCAGGCTGTTCATTTGCAGATACAGTGTGTTCTTTGAATCATCTCTTGAGATGGTGAATCTGCCTTTCACAGACGCGGCGTATTCTGCTGTTCCACCATCAGCTTTGTTTTTAATAAATCCAACCCACTCCAGCCCCTTCCCTGGAGCCTGGCGGACCCAGTCCATCCAGTAGTTACTGAAGGTGAATCCAGAGGCTGCACAGGAGAGTCTCAGGGTACCCCCAGGCTGGACCAAGCCTCCCCCAGACTCCACCAGCTGCACCTCACACTGCACACCTGTAAACACAAAGACATCGTGATTAGAAACAGCCACACGTATCCACTGTTTCTCTCACTCATGTCCCCTCACACTCAGTATCTCTAGTTCTCCATGAATCACCTTTTAAAAGAGCAACAAGGAAAACCCAGCTCAGCCCCAACTCCATGGCTGGTGGTCTGTGTTCAGTGCTGGTCACCAAGTGGAAACTCCTGGGAATCCCAGACTGGGTCTCCTCTCCCAGAGCTGCAGAGTCAGGGCTGGGCTGGTTTTCATCAGCAGAGGGAGGACCCTATTTGCATGTCTCCTACTATATAGGAAGCTCTGGGGTGGGACGCCTGAGGAGAGGACAGGGCCCAGATACGATGACTGTGCCTTGCAGAGGTTTGGTGACAATGATGGTATTTGGAAAATATGCTGTCTTATAAAATTATGCTGTGATAAACACTTTGAACTGATCACCCTATTTTATTTTTACACGTTTGTGTAAATTATGTTTTGTCGCAGTCAATGTTTCTCCCTGTACGGATGTGAAAGTAAACCACATGTGGAAAATGGGCTAAGGGTGTATTTAAGAGCTCATGTCTAGATGAGTAAACCCTGGTATCTGGGCCTGTGCTCCTCATCACTGGCCCCAGTTACTCCCTGAACCAACTCCAGGACAGAGTTGGGGATGCCTAGGATGGTTGTGAAGCCCAGTTTCTGTAGTGAGAACTTGTGTAATTTTGCCGCATTCTAGCATTCACCTAAAATATGGTGAGAACTAGGATTTAGGCAGATAAATTCTTAGGTATTTTTGAAATTCAATATACATTTTTTTCTATCTTTCTATCATTACTTTCTTGTCTAATTATCCATGTGTTTGCTTGTAATAAATTTTATAAGTTTTAGTTTACGTATGATAATATTTTGCATGTTTATATTGTACAGTTGATAAACATGATAGAACCGTCATTATCAAGGGGGACAAGATAATTCTCAATATTCCCTTTTGTTCTTCTGTATACTTTGTTGTTTTCCCTTTCTTCTACCTTTTTCCTTGGCAACTACTGATCTTTACGTTGCTGCAGATTCATTTTAATTTATCAGAATGTATATAAATGAAATAACATAGTAATTATTCTGATTTGTTTGGCTTACTTTACTTAACAAAAACAATTAGATACTTTACCTGATAGTTTGGTATAACATAATTTTTTATGATAAATATTGGGTAGTATTCTAGCAGACAAATTTACTATAATTTGTTTTTCTATTAAGCAGCTGAACAATATTTGATTTTTTTTTATTTTTCTAGGTTTTACTAAAGTTCTGATATTAAGCTTGGAAATGTACATAGAAAAGATATATATTTTTCTTGTTTTTACAACTGTATCAACCATAACAGATAAACAGAGAAGATGGAATTTTGAAAATTTTGTTTAATACTTCCAATATTTAAAGTTCTTAGCAAACAACAACTCTGGAGTTTAAGGAGAAGCAAGTTCTTGTACAGAGTAACAAAGGCAGGGTTTGAAATTACATATTTCTATGGCAGAGTCTAGAGTATGATATATAACCTATTACAAGAGAAAATATAAGTGCATATTGGATTGCTTGAAATTGTGTGTGGTAAGCATGTTGTAGTATGAAATTGTAAGGGATCATATGCTCAAGAACTATCCTATCCTCTTGAATCCCTTTCCCCAAGAAAGGGACAGTCACAAAAATCTTCCTTTCCCCAAGTGTCTGTCTAGGAAATAATAAGAGCCCACACTTCTGAAATGTATTCAGACCCAACTCCCTTATTCCCACAAAAGAACTAAGAATTTACCCTGTAGGGGCAAGTCACTGAAACCAGAATCCTAGGTGCACTTGTTCAATGCCTCAGGAATTGAGATGGTAACACCAAAGATCTATTGAGAAGCAGCTCCCCTGTCTTTCTTATGGAATCAGAGCCTTAGTCTGCAGTGCAGTGCAGCAGATATGCAAGGTGATGACACCGACGGAGAACACTGGAGCTGTGGGAGGGAATACCTGCGGAAAACAGTAGGACTCTACCCCAGGGGAAGGGGAGAGAACACACAGACCAGCATCTCATCTGTAGGAGGGTCAGGAACACTCGCAAGGTCACACGCAGACCCAGGGTCATGATGCCTTCCTAGGAATATGGACCCTTTAGTCTAATACCTTTCACCAACTGAGAAATTGTCAGTAAATAAAATACTTGAATGCACCTGAGGGAGCTGAAAGAGATTCTCTGGAGGACAGAACAAGGTGAAGAGACAAAGTCAAGCAGAAAAGACAAGGTATCATTGGAGGATCTGTAGTCTCTGGTGGACATAGTAGGGCAGACTTCAATTCGTTTTTGAAACCTTTATATCAGACTTTAGTAATGTATATGATAAAACAGTCAACGTCATCAATGGTGTCTTATTATTCCCATCAGGGATGAGGGTCCATGTGAGCACGTGCTGTAGTTCTAGTCATGGAGGCAGGGGAAGTGGTCAGTTGAGGTGTTCCTGGTCCTTCAGAGGAGAATCGCAGAAATGGTTCTTCCCCAATTCCAGACAATATTTAATATATGTGTGTGACTCTTGGGAATGTTGTCACCATGTCACTGTATGATGGGAGTCCCCTGGGGGTAGAAGCTGACTTTCTGGATGCATCAGTGTGGAAAATTGAGAAAAGAAACTGCCTGGGAAGACGAGCTGTCAAATTATTCAATCCTAGAGCCACTCACTTCCGGCTTCCTGTTTCATCATGTTGTGATTTTCCTCATTGTTTAGTCAGCCTAGGTTGTCTTTCTTCACTCTCTGCTAAAATAGTCACACATCATAACCTAGAAGTATTAACATAAATAAGTAATGAATTTGAAATTTAGAATAAGTCCCAAGTGAAGTCAGTTACTGTGTGGTTCATAATGAGATAGACGGGAGACATGGCTGGATACTAAGTGTGTGTTCACATTTATTTTGCCTAGATTCACAAAATATTTTGTATATCCCTTAAATAATATTCCCTTTGAGACCCTTGATTTAGTATTATTTCTTGAAGAATAACACCTAAGTAATAAAAGTGGTGGTTATTAATAATTTATACTATTAGTACATTCATTTATGATATATTCCTCTACCTGATCTAAAACCATCCAAGAAGGCAGAAGTTATTGCACTTAATAGACCTTATCAATTAACAAAAGACCAGGATTAAATACAGATGTTCTGCTGTAGTGCAGAATTTTAAAATGTGCTGCAAGCAGAGGTTTTTTAATCTTCTGGAAGCCCTATCAAAATGGACAGCAAGATACGACAGTTTTAAATAAAATCATACATTCTAGAGACCTGACACACAAATGTGAAACCAAATGCAAAGAGAAAAGAACTAATATGGAAACAAGAATAATGTTCTGGTGCATCATTACAGGAAACATTGAGTCTTAACCTGGTTTGTAATATTATCCAAACATAGAAGGCATTGCCATTGTTCATATCATACCGAAATCAGTCCTATTAATATTCTGGATATGTTGAAAAATAGCATCTTTAAATTAAAAAAAAAAACTTTTAAAAATATGGAAAATCTCTTGGCCAAGAGTTATCCCACTAGCACTGAGACATTCTGGTCCCTCCCTCAGGACACATCCATTATTGCCCTATGAGTCGGGAGCTGGAAGATTCATACATTTAGAAATGTTACCTTCATTGCTCACTTTTATCCTACTGCAGGAGGTGCTTGTTACACAATATTGAAAGCAATTTTTATACTCACTCCAATCACCAAAATTTTAAGGTTGCCTTTTTATGTCATCTTTCAACAGTATTTTGTGATCTTCAACCAAGAAATTATGTCTATCAGAAGAAACATCAGGAAAAAAAATTCTGTTGTTGGAACATATTGGGATACATCCTTTCAGGCGCTATTAACCAAAACACTGCAGAAAAAAAATTCAGGGAGTCAGTTCTTCGGTTGATATGTTGCAACTAAAGAATCAGTTCAGTCCAGATATGGTGGCTCATGCCTATAATTCCACCACGTTGAGAAGCAAAACCAGAGGAATCACATGAGACCATGTGTTTGAGACCAGCCTGCACACATAGAGGGACTCCATTTCTATGAAACATTTAAAAAAAAAAATCAGCTGCATGTGATGGTGCATCCATCTAGTCCTAGCTACTCAGGAGGTTGAGGCAGAAGGATTATGTGAGCCAGGAGTTCAAGGTTACAGTGAGCTATGATTGTGCCACTGCACTCCAACCTGTGTGACAGAGTGAGACCCTATACTCTAATTATAATAATAATAACTAAGAATTTTACACAATTGTAAGGCTACTCAAATAGAAGATATTAAAATGAATATCCTGAGGAATCCTCTGACACTTGTGATGTTTTGGAGAAGACCTAATACATTCAGAATAAGCGGATGATCTTAGATGGTGAAATGACTCCACACAAGACATTGGAACAGGACCCATGTCTAATTCCCTGCCCCGTGCCTTTCACCCCTTTCTCTTCATTTCAGTCCTACTTTTAATTATTATTTGCTTATTCTTATAAGCAGTCTTCTCTTTTTTTGTAGACTTGGTTGTTGTCTACCCATATTGGACACTGATCTTTTCTTTTTATTCACGATTTTTATAGTTGCTACATAGAATAAGTCATCACACTACTGTTTTGATGTCTGACTGTTGATAACTTAATGCTCATTCCTCCATCATCTCCTTTCTTTCCAACACAAGGTGAATCTTGTTAGGAATCACAGGAACTCCCTCATTTGGTGCCATCTGGAGGTTGAAACCCCACAAACTCCTTTCTGTGAATGAGAACCCTCACTCTGCCTCCACCACCAAACCACTAGAGCAACCCTGAGCCATTCTCCTTTCTTACTCGATCAAGCCATTTTGGACATTCCTGAGATACCAGCTCTACTCTCGGCAGACACCTCCAGAGGTAATTAACCTTTCTGTATTCACATGGGCGAGTGTGTGGCACCCACAGGTGTGACATCCACACTACATTTTAGTTGAGATCTCTTGGTCTTTTTATGGTGTCAAATAGAACAAATGCTGTGAGCTTGGTGTCATGGTTCCTAACCACAGGACACACCTGTTCCCTGGACCAACTCCAGGACAGAGCTGGACATGCCTGGTGTGGTTTGATTAACCCCTGTTATGTAATGAAATCATGACATTATTTTGTTGTATTCTAGTGTTTCCCTAAAGATATAGTTAGGCTTAGGGTTTATTCATGTGTATATTCAGGAGTCTTTGATTTCGTGTATGTATTTAAATAAATCTTTAATTCTGTGTTGAGAAATTTAAAATTTCTTCAGTTTATGAGTGAAGTCCTCAAGCCAACGTTCTATGATTTTCTTTTTTTATTTATCATATATTTTATTCATCTGTCTACCTCATTTTCTACTAAATTATACGTGTTTAAATTTGTAATATTTTAATGAGGTAAAATTAGCAAATAATACCCATCCCGTGACGCATACAATTTGACAAATAGTGACATAACCATTACTTTTCTCAACATAGAAAAAATCAACTGCACTCAAAATTTCCTCTTGTTTTCCTAAAATTTCTGGTTCCTACACCTCTTCCCTTCTCACACCACGTCTAGAGTCAACTACTGGGTTTTTTTATGTAACTTTACTTTTCATTTTGTAGAATTTATAGAAGAGGACTTGTATGCATGTACTTGTATTCATTTGTCTTATTTTTCTCTTCATACGTACTTGTGACAATACCCTCACTGTTGAGCATATCCAGCTGTACCTTATTGTAACAGTGGGTGTTTTTCCAGCACAATTTGTTTACTGATTTAGCTGCTGATTGATATTTGGATTACTTTCAGTATCTGGGTATTATTTAAAACCTAATACTCATCTTAGAGAAATACACAGCTGAGAAACAATGTTTTTCTTCTTACAGTAATATGAACAGAAACTAAACTGGAAAAGCTGGCCTTTAACGAATTGTCTTCAACACATCACGTGACTGCAGTTGTAGAATTCTGTGTGTGAGA